AATAATTTAAATTTATTTTATTTTTTAAATAAAAATAATAATTATTTTTAATAAATAAAAATAAATATATAAAATAATATTCTAAAAAATAAATAATTAAATTTAAATATTTTAAATAAAAAATTTAAATCTATAAAGAATAAATAGAGAATATTATTACTAAAGCGTCATTGTCTAGACTGTATCAATTACAAACAATTTTTTTTTACTACTAAAATAAATATTATAAAACTAAAAACAAATATATAAAGATAAAACAAATCTTCACCCTAACAGAAAAAGGCCGGCTATTCACCTTTAATGTCTGATGACTACTCTATTTGTAATCTTAAGAAATAGTGTAAGGAGGATGGGGTTGATTAATATTGAGTTCTTAATTATTAAAATTTCTTTTAAAGGGCATTAAAAGATTTTTTTTATTTATTAAATATTTATAAATTAATTATCTATATCAAAATATTTTATATATTTTATATTATTATTTATTTTTAATAATAATTTTTTTCCTCTTTTCAAAAATAAATACAACTCAATAACCCATTGGTGGGCTTAATAATACTAGTTACCAAAAATTTGAGAATCCAATGGTAGAAGAAGAAATGTTCATCTAGAAAAAGAAGAAATAGATGTCTAATTAAGTAGCTATAATAATCTTTTATATTAAAAATATTGATTTTTTTTTTTTTTGTACATCTAAATATCAAAATTTTCTAACATGTTATTTTTAAAGCATATAATGCATTAATTGTATTTTTTTATTAATTTGTATAAAAATACATAAATTAATTTTATTTTTAACATTAATGACATATGCACAATTTTAATTAAACAATTAATCAAATTACTATCAAATTTCATTTTTAATAATAATTATTAAGAAAAAAATATAATTAATTCACACTTAAAGAAAAGCTTAAAAACATTACTATTATTGTTAAAAAATACTCATCAATGGTAATCTTATAGTTTTTTTTTTTTTTATGAATCTTATAGTTTACTTTAAAATTATTTTTACTTATTTTTTAAAATAAAAATTTAATTATAAATTTTATTATATCCCTATAATACTTGTAATTGCACCAAACCATAAGTCCTTCTTCAGTCCACACTTTCACTTCGGATGAACCTGTAAAGCCCCGAGGTGGATCCTCGGGGTACCTCGGGGTAAACACTCCGATACTTAAATCAGCAATAATCGGATCTACCATTTTTAGAATAATTAAAGAGGAACTTTAGGTCGGTTTCAATTACCTTTCTGAGGTGGCTCCTAGGGGTATTTATAAGCTTTTGTGAGGTACCCACGTGGCTTGCTTAGCAGGATAATCGGAATATGACATGTCCCTTAAGGAGGTAAACTCGGGACCGGCGGTAAATTCGGGACCAGGGAATTGTGCTACAGATCAGGTGCTGGCATGTCCACTGTATTTACCGTGTAGCCATTTGACCAGAAGTGTTGGATTTAATCTCACTTCGGCAATTAAGGAATTGTTACAGTACGTCCGAGGTTAAGGACTTCGGATCTATCCTTACACTATTCCCCCCTCGAAGTCATTCACTTGTGAATGATGTTGTTAGAGATAATGGGAGTAGTGCATAAATAGATAGAAAGAGGAATGAAAATATTTAAGATGAGTTATAGAAATAAAAATAAAAATTGGTAACTTACATTCATAAATGTATGGCCGTAAAATAAAATGTGACTAGAATGATTGTGGCTGAAGCCGTAGTGAAAATAATGAACGGAGTCATAATGGCTTGGGCCATAGTAAGAAGTGATGACCGCAGTTACATCTGCTCGAGCCGAAGCAAAAAGTAATGACTGGAATCATATTGGCCGGAGCCATAAGAAAAAGTAGTGACCGTGGTCATAGTGGCCGGAGTGGTAGTAAAAAGTGATGACTGAAGTCATATTGGCCAGAGCCGTGGTAAAAAATGGTGACTAGAGTCATATTGGCCAGAGCCGTAGTAAAAAATGGTGACCGGAGTCATATTGGCCGGTGTCACAGTAAAAAATGGTGACCAGAGTCATATTGGTCGGAGCCATAATAAAAGTGATGACCACAATCATATTGGCCGGAGCCGGAGGTAAATATGTGACATGAAGGCGCTATGGCCAAAGTCGAAGTAAAATATGTGACATGAACTCACTACTGTCGAAGTTAAAGTAAAATATGTGACATGAAGTCACTATGGCTGGAGTCGAAGTAAAATATGTGACATGAAGTCACTACAGCCGGAGCCGAAGTAAGATACTTGTAAAATTAAAAAATTTTATTATGAAGGGGAAGAGAAGTGTTGAACTGGGCTTAGTGGGACCCGTTTAAGAGGGCTGACATAGGGTTAATGCGTGGCGTGACAACTGTCTGTCGAAATACGTGTACAATAAATACGAGTTGTAAAAAAGTAACTGCACAGTTAAGTGGACGGGATGGGGAACGAACCGTCGAGTCCTAGAGATTTCCCTTAGGGATTAATTGTCGAATTTGAAACAGTGTAACCGTGACCGTTAAATGAAATTAATCAGAGCCGTTAAGGCGTATATTTCCTTTGGTATATAAAACTATACTTCTGTAAAAAGAGTTTTACTTTCTCCGTATTTGCTACCGAAGTGCTGCCAAACTTTCTACAGTGTTTGTGTGAGTGATTTGCATGACACATTTTCGACTTCAAAACTCATTCTGCACTATCGAAATCAGGTAACTTATGAACTTTTGTAATTCAAGCTCTAGTGGTGAATTTTATTGTCCTCTCACCATTTCTGATTTAGATTTAAGCCCTCTTAAAGAGGTTAGGGTTAAGAGCGAGAGTGATATTGTGCGTGAGTTAGAGTTTTTTGAAGATCCTGACTGCATCCCTCCTCATACTCTGTGCAGTGAAAGTTACGAGACCGAGGAGATGTCTTTTGAAGAAACATTGAGCATTGGGGGGAACGAGGAACTAAGGATGTTAGAGTACAATGATATAAGCATCGAGAGTGAATCGTCTGGGTCTAAGCGGACAGAGGGAAGGGTAGGGAGAAATGAGGTTGTTAAGGTTGGGGCAGAAGAAGTGCCTGTTAATATATTGGAAGTGGGAGATAGGAGTGATAAGTGTTATGATAGTGGGGCATAGGGGTGGGCATCGGTTCGGTTCGGTTGGAACCGAACCAGAATTGACGATTTTAATCGGTTGTTTATTTTGTGAAATAACAACCAAAAATCGAACCGAATAATATTTCAGTTTTTTGGTTCGATTACTAAATTAATCGATTCGGTTGACATCGATTTCGGTTTTGATCGATTCCAGCCTTGAACCCTTAGCAACTTTTTTTTTTTTTTGGATTTGGGCCTTTCGTTTTTTGGCCCAAATATCTACTGAATACTTTGTGATCCATTTCTTTTAATTTTAGGTTTAAGTACCATTTTGGTCCCTCAACTTTACACTTTGGTACCAAAATTATCCTTCAATTTTAAAAAATACTAAAATTATCCTTAAAATTTCATTTTCGGTACCAAAAATGGCACGTTATCTTGCCACAAAATCACATTTTAAAAGAAATAATAATTACGTGGAAAACAAACTTGATGAAATTGCATTTTTTTTCCACATGGCTTTTTTTTATTTAAATAAAAACTCACCTAATTTATTATTATATTGTTCATCTTCTTCTTCCTCCCTTCTTCTCTCTCATCCCTCCGCCCCTTCTTTTTTCCCAGCCTTTTTCCTCCTCACCTCATCCGTGGATTCCCCCAAAAAACAATCTTTGATTTGGGTTTACTTTCTCCAACTTCATCTTTTTCCTTTCCCTGCTTATCATTCTTTTTTCTTTCTCTTATTCTTTCTCTCTCTCTTCTCCCTTCTTCTTCCTCTCTCAAAACCCAGATCTGGGTTTTTCTAGATCTGAGTTTTTCTCGGATTATGTTCTAGATCTGGGTTTTTCTCGGATTATGTTGGGTTCTAGACTCATAAAGCTTTTCGAGCTTCGTAAACTCTGAATCTTGTACCGGAGCTCATTTGTTTTTCTTCGTCGCAGAAAGCCCTTTCCGATGATGCCCAGACTTGGCTTACAAGTGTCAAGCGTGTTTATTTGAGTTAGATGTTGAATGCGCCTTGCTTCCCACAGCAAATTGTGAAGGTGCCAATGTGTTGTAGAAGGTATATATTTTATATTTTCCTAAACAATAATACGGGTTTTCGGGTGTATTATTCGGTTGTTCGGTTGTTGGGCTTGGAACCGAAGCCCGCACCGATAATAAACGGTTGATGCGTAAAACCGTTCCTTGGGCCCAAAGCCCGTTTGTAACCATACCACAAGCCCAATTTTGCTGCGGTTGTCGGGCAACCGATCGGTTGCCCGCGTGCGTGCCCACCCCTAATGGGGCAAACATTGTGTCTGAGGTAAAAGGGTACGAGTCTGAGCTCCGGAGTAGGGATAGCCTGAGTTATCTCATAGAAAGCTACGAGATTTCCTCTAGGGTGTTAATTAGGCCTGCTGGAGTGAAATAAAGGGCATGCTCTGCATCCCGGGATCACTGGATGCTAGTGTATGCCCACTATTTGGCAGCAGGGCTTAAGTTTCCTTTGCCTAATTTATTAGTGTGGCTGTTATTAGAGTATAGTGTAGGTTTAACCCAATTATCTCCCAGTGCAGTGAGGGTGATAATTGGGTTTGTAGTTGACTGTCGAGCTAAAGGAGTTAAGGTGCCCATAGTAAACATGTTTAAGCACTTTTTTGTATTGAAGGTTGGAAGTAGGAAGGAGAAGGGGTGGTATTATTTTACACCTCCGTCGTCCAACAAAGAGAAGAGGAACATGTTTAGTGTAGGGCCTTCCTCCATTAAGGGGTGGAAGGAAAAATTCTTCTTTGTTGATGACATCGAGTGGGAGAAGGGAGATGGGGAAGTAGAATTTTTGTCCACCTGGAAGGCTAAAAAGGCCAACCAGAATAAGTGCACTTTAAATAGTGATGAGAAGGAAGAGGTAGAGAAGCTGGTGAGAAAGGAGGGTAACATAATAGATATTATGTTTCTCACCAGCTCAGATGTTATAGAAGTGGCTGAGCTTTATGGGCCGAGCGCACTGAGTGAAGGTGTGTTGGTGTATTGTGTGATGTGTGTAAAAGTTTGTTTATGATTTGTGGATTTTAATGAAATTGTTGTTTTGCAGCTGAAATGGACATGTTTCTCAGTGTTGCTGGTGGGGTGGCTATCCCCAAAAAGCCAAGGAAGAAGTCCCAAACTTCGGAGAAGGCTGTGGTTGCAAAAGGAGGTGGGCACATGGAGAAGGGGCAGATGTCAAGCACAGAAGCCCGAGCTGCAAAAGAGGTGGAGCTGAGGTCCAAGAGGAAGAGAGATGAGGTGAATCAAGCTCAGAAAAAGGAGAGGAGGATGGAGGAAGAGGTTTGGGGGGACGAGGTAGTGGAGTTTGTACCTCGTCCTGCACCTGTTGAGTTTGATCCGAACCTTAGAGAGATCGAGGTCCCTGCCTCTAGCAAGGGTAAGGCATTTGTGCCCGCGCCTTCTCTCCAGAGCAACATTTTTGGGAGTAAAAATTTCTCCGTAGCTAAGAACTTTATCAACACTTACGTTCTTGAGGTGGATCGCCACGAAGCGAGGGAAGAAGTCTTGCTGCATGGAGGGAACGCAATTGTGAAGCATGCTATGGAGGTAAGTTTCGTGATTGTTTTTGTTGTTTGTTTTTTTTTTTTTTTAATTTAGTTGTGCTGATGTGGCAGACTGCAACTTGAGTTAACGCGTTAGCCCAAGAATTCCTGGAGCTGGTGAAGGACTGCAACAGCCTGTAGAAGGAAAGGGATGAGCTGTTGAAGAAAATCAGTGAAATGAGGAGGGAACTGGATATCGTGATACTAGCAGTGACAAGTCTGCAAGAGGAAAGAGATACATTGAAGACGATTCTCTCGTTCGAAGAGAAGAAAAGGAGAATGTGCGAAGAAGAGAATGACGCACAAGAGGAAAAAATAAGGAGAATGAAAGAATCTGAGGTGGAACTGAAAAAGAATGTCCAACTGCTGGTCCACAAAGGGATGGAGGAGCACATCGACGACTTTATCAACTCCAGCACGTTTGACAACATTGTCAATCTCTACCAGCTGCCAACTGCAATCTTTGCCTTCACTGATTACAAAAAGAAGGTCATGACTGAGTATCTCGAGGTGGATATCACCAAGATCACTTTCAGTAAGCAAGAGGAAGGGGTGGAGGAGAACAGCAAAAGCCTATCAGCAGATTTCTGACCTCAGCTTAACCTAAGGTGGGATCATGATGAAGAAAGACGCGTTGTTTTTCCTCCCAACTTCGACTTGGAGTTCGTAGCAGTGAAGGAGGAGGTAGGAGAAGCAGAAGGGGCTGAAGTTGAGAAAAGCCAGTCTTCTCCTCCCGTAGAGGTGCATCCAGTTCCCTCAGAAGAAGAGCAGCCACCTCTCCCAATAGAGCAGGAGCCACAGCAGCCACCTCCACCAACGGAATAGCTTAGGGATTTTTTGATTTGTATTGTTTGATTTATGTATTTAGAATTTGGACAACAATAAATGTCCAAGTTTTTTGATTAATTTTAAGGAAGACTCTTGAATTAGTTGTTCATTTATGTTGTGTTTGTAAAAATTTAGATAAGTAAATCACTTCGAATATGAACTGGGAAGAAGTAAAATTCAAATATGAGCTGAGAAGAAATAAACAAATTCTGATATGAACAGGAAAGAAGTGAATCACTTCATAAATGAATTAAAAAGAAGTAAAGCACTTCAGAGATGAACTAAAAGGAAGTAAAGCATTTTGGGGATGAATTAAAAAGAAGTAAAGTACTTCGTATGTGACATGACATTTATTAATAAAAGTGAAGTTCAAGGACTGAATTCTTAACAAATTGACATCGAATATACAGAATAAAAGGTAAAATGAAGCTCAATAATCAAAAAGTAACAAGTATAAAGGAGAATCAAACATAGATCACTTGAAAAGAATTTATTAAGGGTAAAATTTTTTCAAATTATTGACATTCCAGACTCTAGGAATCCGCTTCCCTTCGGCGTCTTGGAGGATATAAGAACTAGGATGTGGCACTTCGGCCACTATGTAAAGGCCTTCCCAGTTTGGGGCTAGTTTGCCAAAACGAGTTTCAAACCCTGTTAGGCCAGCCTTTCTGAGAACAAGGTCTCCTACTTTGAATGTTCGAGGGCGGACTCGTTTGTTGTAGAAGTTGGCTAATTTTTGCTTGTATACAAGAGTTCGAAGCCTTGCTTCTTCTCTGACTACTGTAAGCAGATCAAGGTTTCCTCGACGCAGTTGTCCATTTCGTCCTTCATCGAAATGGGTGACCTTGAAGCTTGGGACTCCTATTTCAATAGGAATGACTGCTTCGGTACCAAAGGCCAAGTGATAGGGTGTTTCACCTATTTCATGAAATTATAGTCTTTAGAATATGCTTTATATATTATGCATATTTGATCTAGGGTAGAGTTACAGGTGATAAAATAAAAGTTGAATGAAAGTAGCTTGGGTTGGAAACAGTACCTGTGGTAGTTCGGCTTGTAGTTCGGCTCGTAGTTCTATATGCCCAAAGGATGTTGTTGAGCTCGTCTGCCCACTTGGCCTTGTGCTGTTCCAACCTCAGTTTTATTCCTTCTAAGATGGCTTTATTAACAGATTCTACCATACCGTTGGACTTCGGATGGTAAACCGAGGTGAACTGTAATTTGATCCCGTAGCTGGAACAAAAATCTCAGAAAGAAGAGCAGTTAAACTGAATACCATTGTCAGCCACAATTTGGTTCGAGATCCCATATCTGCAGATAATTGAGCCAAAAACAAAGTCTTCAACCTTTCTGGAAGTAAGACTAGATAATGGCCGAGCTTCAACCAATTTCGTAAAATAATCAACTCCAACAATCATATGGGTTACACCGCCAACCCCTTTCACGAATGGGCCCAAAAGATCAAGTCCCCATTGAGCAAATGGCCATGGTGCTACCAAGTTCGTGAGCTTTTCTACTGGTTGGTAAGTCAGATGTGCGAAGAATTAGCACTTCAAGCATCTCTGAACAAAGTGAGTAGCATCTTTATACATATTTGGCCAGTAATATCCCTGCCTTAAGACTTTGTGAGCTAGAGTTCTAGCACCAATGTGGCTCCCACAGACACCTTCATGTACCTCCCAAAGTGCGTATTCTACTTCATAGGGATTCAAGCACCGTAGAAGAAGGAGTGAGAAAGATCTCTTATAGAAGACCCCATCAATGAGTGTATATCGAGACGCTTTCTTCCTCACCCTCATTGCCTCTCACTTGTCTTCAGGCACTGTTCCGTCTTGTAAAAAAGAGATAATTGAGTCAGTCCAGCTCGGTGTATCCGGGTCTATGCTGATTTCCATCATTCATGGCTTCATGAAGCTTGGTTCATCTAAGACTTTAGAAAAACTAATATGGAACTTAAAGAGCTATCAGAGGCAAACTTAGAAAGTGAATATAACTGTTCATTCTCAGTTCGGGGAATTTTGTTCAAACAGAATTTTTGGAATTTGCACTTCAGCTTGGCCACCAGAGCTACATATTTCATCATCACAGGATCAACGACTTCGTAGATTAAGTTAACTTGATTAACCACAAGCTGTGAGTCACTATATAATCGTATCATCATGACTTTCAACTCCAATACTAGTTGCAAACCAAGTAGCAGAGCTTCATACTCAACCATGTTATTTGTTGCATCGAAGTTAAATTTCAGAGCATGCTCACTTCGGTATCCATTTGGGCCAATTAAGAGAGCACCAGCTCTTGAACCCTTACTAGTAGATGCTCCATCAACATATAAGGTCCAGTCGTTGGGCTTGGGATTAAGGGTTAAGTGACATGGAGTGCATTCTACAATGAAATCTACCAGTGCTTGAGCTCGGATTGCAGATCTCTGCTGAAATGTTATCTCAAATTCCCTCAGTTCTATTGCCCACTTAACTAATCTTCCGGAACACTCTAGCTTTTGCAAAATCTATCGAAGAGGTTGGTCTGTGAGGATGATGATTGGATGTAATTGGAAATATGGCCTTAGCTTTCTAGCCAAAGTGACAACTGCTAATGCTGCTTTCTCAGCAATAGGATACCTCAGTTCTGCGGCATGCAGCACGTTATTGATATAATAAATTGGTTTCTGTTGTTTGGCTTCTTCTCTCACCAAACTGAACTAATTGCTTTGTCTAAAATTCCAAGGTACAAATAGAGAATCTCTCCATCTATAGCCTTAGTCAGTAGGGGTGG